CCAAAGATACTGCCCCCGAATGGTTCCCGCAAATGCCTCCATGAACTTCTCTCAAGGCGTATTCAGTCTCTCCCAGTCCCAAGCATCTGACTAGTGGCCCGTCGAAGGTTATCCTGAACAATGCGTCTTCGACCAAGCTAAATCTGGCAGCCTTGATACGCAAGGCTCTCGATTATTTGGGATCCGAGGACAATTTTTCGGTCTTCAAGTAGTCTATGTACTTGTTTCACCAATCCCAATTTAAACTCGTTGAGTTTACTTCGGCGTGCCCTTATTCTATCACTGACTTCATGAGCTTCACTACTGTTCCTGAACTAAATTCATCGGCATCGACTGACGACCCCAAAGTTAGCCAAAGCATCGACCACGTTGTTCCGATCTCGGGGTATGTGTTGCAGGGTCAATTCCCTAAATTGATGCAGCGTACCTCTAATTTGTCTAAGTACCTTCGCATCCATTCTTCTTTTACTTTGAACATCCCGTTAACTTGATTTACCACGAGGAGGGAGTCGCACTTAGCTTAGATCACCTCAGCCCCAAGGCTTTTAGCCCTTCTAAAGCTTGCTGGCATTCTGGGGTCCAAGAAAAATTATTCTTTTTTTTTAACAGTGAGAAGAATCGATGGCTTTTGTCCAAGGACCTCGATATGAATCGTCCCAGGGCGGCTATACGCCCTGTAAACCTTTGAACGGCCTTGACGTTTTCCACCACGATGATGTCCTTTATGTCTTTGATTTTTTTGGGGTTGATCTCGATCCCTCGACTGGATACCATGAACCTGAGGAACTTTCCCGATCTGACCCCGAATACGCACTTCTCTGGGTTCAGCTTCATATTGTATTTATTCAGTATGTCGAAGGTCTTCTGCAAATGTTTCAAATGGTACTCTGCTCGCAAGGACTTGACTAACATGTCGTTAATATAAACTTCCATTGATTTTCCTATCTCTTCTTCGAACATCCGATTTACTAAGCGTTGATAGGTAGGACCGGTGTTCTTTAATCCGAACGATATTACATTATAACAGTAGGTTCCAAATTTAGTGATGAGAGAAGTCTTTTCTTGATCGTCTCGGTCCATCCGAATTTGGTTGTACCCGGAATAGGTATCAAGAAAGTTGAGCATTTCATGCCCGATCGTCGTGTCGATCATCCGATCGATGTTAGGCAATAGGAAATAATTCTTGGGGCATGCCTTATTTAGATCTTTGTAATCTACACACATTCTTAGTTTATTCTCTTTTTTAGGTACTACTACTACGTTAGCTTACCAGTCCGGGTATTTAACTTCCCGAATTCACCCTATTTTAAAGAGTTTGGATGCCTCGTCCTTGATGAACGCATGTTTGACCTCGTACTGCGGTTCTGTTTAACCGCATGGTACTTCGGGTCCAAACTCAGCTTATGAGTGGTTATCTTCTGTGGGATCCATGTCATGTCAAGATAGGACCAAGCGAAACAGTCAATGTTAGCTTTAAGAAAATTAATGAGTTTTTTCCTCAGTTCGGGGGTTAACCCCGTGCCCAGGTATACCTTTCGATCCAGTAGGTTATCGATCAATATGACTTGATCCAACTCTTCGACCGTCGATTTGGTGGCGTCGGTATCATCAGGAGCTATGAACGATCTCGGAACTTCGTAATCATCCTCCTCATCTACTCCTCGTTCCTCCGGTTCGGCTGAGACCAGCATCGGTGATTGCTATTTAATTTCTTATTTTCTAGTTGGCTCTGTGTCTCTTGATGTCGAAACTGCGGGTACCGAAATTACCTTGTCGACTGCGAACATCTCCTTTGCGGCCGGCTACTCTACATAGACCGTCTTGACTCCACCCGGTGTAGGGAACTTCAATGTCTGGTGCAAGGTCGAAGGTACTGCCCTCATATTGTGAACCCACGGCCTTCCGAATAGGGCGTTGTACCTTATGTCCCCTTCGATCACGTAGAACTTTGTCTCTTGGATCGTCCCGGTGGTGTTCACTGACAGGATTATCTCCTCTTTAGTGGTTTCGTATGTCGTATTAAATTCGTTCAACACCCAGACTGACGGCACTATTTGGTCTTGTAACCCCAATTGCTCTACGACCCTTGATCTGATGATGTTGTCTGAGCTACCTGGATCAATCAACACACGTTTAACTCGAGATTTATTGATAAGTACGGATATTACTAGAGCATCATTGTGAAGTTGTACGATGATCTCGGCATCCTCGTCGCTGAACGAAATGGTTCCCTCCGGGACATAATCTCGGGTGCGTTTTTCCCTTGTGATAGATACTTTAGTGCACTTTATGATTGGCCTTTGGGGGACATCGGCCCCTACAATGATCATGTTGATGAAGTGTTGAGGCTCCTCTTGTTCGGCCCGTTATTGAACAACCGGGTAACTTCTTCTCTCAATTATCGGCAATCCTCGGTCCTGTGGCCATGAGTGTTGTGATACTTACACATCATGTTAGGATCTCTTTGGGTAGGGTCAGACTGTAATGGTCGAGGCTATTTGGTCTCCTTGATGCGCCCGATGGCTGATACGATGCTGGCAGCATCAACGTTGAAGTTATACTCTGATAATCTTGGTGCTTCCCCTACCCCCGAGCAGCCTGTCAAAACCAATTTTGGCTCATATGACCTCGGCTACTGGGCCCTCAGTCGCTTCTCTTCTCGTTCCTGATGGGGTGACGCCTGGACCTATTTCTCCTTCGGTCCACGCTGTATGGTTGGCACCAATCCTGACCGGCCTTGGCTCATGATCGACAGCTCTCTTAGACCTGTCGTCGACCCTGATGGGATAAACAGACCCAGAAGGGGCACCGAGTTGGTCGTCCTCGACCGTGATCTTCGACTGGTACCTGTTGTGGACGTCGGACCAAGTCACTGTGAGGTACTCTACCAAATTTTGTTTCAGTTGTTGTGAAGCCAAGGAGCTTCGAAGGTTAATCCCTTGAGCGAATGCCTAAATGGACCAATCATCTACAACCGAAGGCAGGTCCATTCGTTTTGTTTGGAACCTTGACACGAACTCCCTGAGCATCTCGTTGTCTCTTTGTTTAACCTTGAAAAGGTCAGACTTTCTGGTCTCGACCTTGATGGCCCCGGCATGGGCTTTCACGAAAGCATCTGTAAGCATGGCAAACGAGTCAATGAAATTAGGGGGTAAGTTGTGATACCATATCATCGCTCCTTTGGACAAGGTCTCCCCAAACTTTTTCAGTAACACCGATTCGATCTCATCATCTTCCAAGTTGTTCCCTTTGATTGCACATGTATAGGAGGTCACATGCTCACTTGGATCAGTGGTTCCGTTATATTTAGGGATATCAGGCATATGAAACCTCTTTGGTATTGGCTTTGATGCCGCGCTCGGAGGTAAAGGCTTCTGGATAAACTTCTTGGAATCCGTCCCTTTCAATATCGGGGGTGCTCCCGGGATTTGATCGACCCTGGAATTGTATGTTTCCATCTTTTTGTCATTGGCCTCAATTTTCTTTTCACCTGACTCCACTAGCTTCGTTAATGTTTCAAGCATTTTCATTATTTCGGGATGACCCCTGGACTCAGCTTCACCCGGTCTCTCGGTGATCTGTTCATTTTTTTGGATGTTTTTCCGGGATTATTCGGGCTCAACTCTGCTGGGGGCGTGGCATTGATTTTGTAGTTGCGCTATCGCCGCCTGTTGAGCCTGTAACATTTCGAAGATTAGCCGTAGGCTTACCCCATCGCCTTCGCCTTCGGGTGCTTCTCAAGTTGTTGGTCGGGGTCCCCCGCAAATGCTGTTTTGGGGATTAGTTGGCAGGTTGACATCGATGGCCACCTGTGAGTTAGCATCGACCGGATCGGCAACTGGGACTCCGGTGGGATCAACATGAGGTACCTTATTGCTAGGCACCAGATTGTTGTTTTCGCCATGATGGCCAGACTCATCGTCAACGTTCAAGTGGGCAGATTGAGAATTTGACATTTTAAACTAACATGAAATTAGACTTTAAAGAACAAGCGTAAAATAGAGTGTGTTATGGAGATTTGTATCAAATCACCACTATTATCCTTAGCCCCACGGTGGGCACCAAACTGTTTACCCTTAAAACGGATAACAATTAAATTTGTACGCGGTTTTAAGGATATATGGATTGATTCAACACAAATAATCAAGGATATTAGATAAACGAGTTAAAGACAAAATGAATAATCAAACCAATTGTAATATTACGACCCAACTCGAACTTAGGTTAAACAATAGTTTTGCCGTCGATCGGACCCTTGGTTCGGAGCCAATTGTGAATGAAGAACAACAGTAAAGTAAGAACTTTGCAATAGATAGAAAGCAGAAAAAATGAATTTGTATTTCCTTGGTTTGCGTGTTACAGTGTGTCTTATCAAAGAAAAACTTCCCATATATATAGTAGGAGAGTTTCATCCCTAGTACAAGTCTAAAAAGGGTAAAAATCCCCATTTCTCGTTAATTACTGATCTGTAACCGACATCGAGCGAGATCTGCACCGTGATATCCAGTTAGGTACGGATATCACTGTCCTTTGTTAGCCGTGCGTAACCATTTGCCATATTTCATGAACTCTTAGAGATCGTTTTGGGTCCGGGCAGCATTGCTTTATCACGCCCGACGATGAGCACATCATTTACCTTTCATGGATCTCGGTACGAAAGACTCCGTACGTGCCCTTCTTCCGTCTTCTTCCCCGATTTTACCCGTATACAGTGGTATCAGTTGATCTCAAATATTAAACGTTATCGTGATCTGAGTTAATTAAATTGAGTGTTAACATTATGTAGCAGATTGAAAAACTAGAAACTATTGGTATTTTAATCAAGAAATTAAATGTTAGAACCCACTGAAATTGTGTCAAAGTCGTTTGAGTATCAAGACTATTGTTCACAGATGTAGGTTTATATTCTGATCCAATGAAGGCAAGTATTGGTGTTGCAAATTTGAATAGCTTTGGGATCTTAGTAGTGAAGGGTGGAGATAACTTCAAGAATGACTCAATGTCTAGAAAGAGTAAGATATTTTAATAGCAGAAGAACATGAGATTTTCCTAATAAATTCTTCTACAAATGGCTAAAAACCGCCCCATGCTATCCTTAAACAACCTCTATACAAATTCCCCTCACCCTTTTCAAATTAACTCATTTTACAAGATAATAAGTACTACTAACTATGATTTTCTATAGTCGCTTCTCTTTTTTCGCTGTTCTTAGCCGCTTCGCTTGCAGTAGAAAGTCAACGGCCAGAAACAAATAATGAATTGGCTGATAATTGGTTCCCTTCAATCTGAATTTTCTTAGCTTTTGCCTTGTCCAAGCGTGCCCGTCTTACAGCTTCTTGGACATGGCGATCGTGATCTTTCAACATCTGATCCATTTTGCCTGATGGAACTAGTAGTGGCCCAGAATAGTGAATTTTGTTGCCTTTTGATCCATATCCCAGCTGAACATGAAAAATGAGCAAATCAGACCACGGCTAAAACCATCATAGTTGCGAAAATATATAATGTGAATAGGTTGATAGGCTTCTTACAAGAACAGGATCATTGTTGCTAGTTCTACCGTCCTCATTTTGATGTGAGCTCGCAAGTGAATGAGTTTTCTGCTCTTGTTTCATCGCGGAATGTGAAACCTCTTTGAATGATCCAGGAAACCTGGCTATAAGTTTAGGAGCCTCTTGTTTATGTGGACCAGACTTGTCTGGCCGGTCTTCAGAGAACATGCTTCTCCTTGCAGCGACTAGACCGGACATAGCTGACAAATCCGCAACAGAGAGTTTCGGGGCATCTTCCATATTCTTTCCAGCTTTTGCCCAGGCAGCTCGGTGAGCCAATGGCCCGGAATGTGAACCTCGCTTATGCAGCTGCGCCTGAGGATCATTGCTTGCTTCTTCCACAACCTGAGATGGTCGAGGGGGATCAATTGGAAAACCAGATGCAACTTCTTCCTGATGAGAGTTGAACATCTCACTTCTGCTTTTTGAATTGGATTGACCTTGCCTTTTCTGCATAGAGGCCAAACCACATTAATACAGAAGAGAATTAACAAAAATTGTAGTTTCAAGGTTTGAATGGGACAAGTTAAGGATAGGCACAAGACTAGATAATTGGAATACCAGAAAAAAGCATAAACTCAGAATGAAGCCCATGAACAGAAGTACGCATTTAAATGGGCTATTAATCTCTGAACACCACAAAGCTTAAGCCGTTGTAATGCTACAGAGTGAGGAAAAAGGTCATCGAACATACTAATATGCAGAGTACTCCTTTCTACATTGCCGGCGTGCAATTTTACTGGCATTTACCAATTGATCAATCCCTTTTCTCCTCCATACTCTCATGTTTTAAAGGTTAAATGACTAGATGCAGTATGCACCACTTCCTCTTCCCAAGCACCCACCAAAAAAGGAAAAAAATTGACTGTTGTGACAAGTTGTTAAGTGATATAGAGTAATTTCACGGGACTCCAAGGTCAGTGACTCATAGAAAGTAGTATTTTACCCCATGAGCATATCAATGTCAACAAGTTATCATAAAAAATTACCTGCATAGACGAAACTAATTCAGCATTGGCTTCGGGTGCAGGGACTGCACGCGATTCTCTTGTTCCTCTCCTTTCTAGGTCATATCTGGGACCCTTGTTTCCAGCTGCCGCTTGCCTAAAAAAAGCATTTATCATCAGCATATAAATGGGAGCACATCAACCACCACAACATCAATTATGTCTTAAAGCCCATTTGTAACTGACAATTCTGGAGCACATGCAGTAAGAAGCTAGCAAAAGCATATTTATGTTTTCTGCTAAACTGCATTACCTTCGAGCTTCTTCATCCCGCACTTTAGCATCAAATTCCTTGCTCGGAGGATATTTTGGCAAGCTCAAAGGATCACAAGGGAGCGGCTTTGTTGTAAAGAACTGAAATGAAGCAGGTTGGATAATCAAAATTTTGAAATTTTGCCAATCGTTGTCTAATCATGGCCATTCGGGCTCCATAGCATCAAAATGGATGAAGAGAACAGATAAACGTAATAATCAAGATAAAGCACCAAGGAAGCACTGCCGTCAAATAAGTGTCTGACAACACAAGACAGTTCAGCTCGGATAAAGTGACATGACCTTTTGATACAAATTGCAAATACTGAAGTTCAGTATTTGCATATAAAGAAATATTATTTACAGCCAAACAACTCTTTAAAAGATTTGATCTTTACCTCACTCTTCAAGGCAGAGGCTGATGACCCACGATCGGCAGGATCTATGGAAAGTAAGGTTTCTATGAGTGCTAGTGCTGGTGCAGGAAACTCTTTAAATGTTTCCGCAACACAACGCCGATAAGGTTGTTGGGGCTTGAAGATTGTTGCATGGGGCAACCTCGATTTCCTCCAGTACTCCTCAGAAGGTGATCCACACAGTTTGAAGATCTTATGAAGCTGCTCAACCTACAGCACAGATTATGCACTTTGTTTTTATCGACATATTAAACTAGAATGCATGATTAATAGATGGACAACGATGATAGTTATACAAAAGAAAATAATTGCAGATATAAGTAACAGGCCAATAATGTCGAGTAAAGACAACTAATATTCCCTGTCAGAGAAAGTTCAAACTACCATCAACTGTTCATCATATCAGACTGCATGATGCAACTAACAGGATGACAAAGGATCAACAATGATTAATGAGTAAACGAGCTTCAAAAGAAGTATACAAGACCATATGCTACAACACCTATGGCATCCTAACCTTTCAAAGACGCGTCAAAATCACACAGTCGAGCAACTTCCTCGCATTTCAATATTAAAGAAGCACCAAAATCATTCACATTCTCAAACTTCCAAGGGTAACTCCAGCTACCAGGTAGTGAAAAAATGAAAAACTATCATCCATGAGCCAAGAACAATTTGTCGTGCACTGCAATACTAACCATCGGCTAGCTTCCAAAGAAGCCACTACAACTTTTTGAATCAAGCAATGAAGCGCTACTTACATTTCGAAGCTGAAGTCGACCATGGCAATACCAACTACCAAGTACGAACAAAAGAATATGCTGCAGTTCACATCCTAACTCACTTGTATCATAGAGGCACTCTAAGTAAGATGTTTAAGGTATTTTAAATAAATATGCGCCAATAGGATGCTTCAACATTCTCAGGGTTGGTATAATTTTCTATATTGAAAATGGTTTTAAACCTTCTCTAAAATGAAGGGTGATTTACTGACTGATTTCGCAAAGAACTGTCTTATATGCCGCCAGCATCAAGAACCAGAAAACAGGGTCCAGCAAATGACATTTGACCTCAAGCAAATGACAGTACAAACTCCACAATTTGGTCTCACTGGTGCATTGAACCTATGAGCTCAAATGACCCTGACTATATTTGATTCCTTTCAACCGTGGGACATTGGTGTATTTTATTTCGATATCAGTAAAATGGGTACTATACAAAAAATCCAAAAGATTAGCTAAAAACATACCTCTGTTCTCCCAGGCATTATCGGCTTGCCAGCATAAAGTTCCGCAAGTATGCAACCAGTGCTCCACAAATCCACAGCAGTCCCATAGTAAGTAGCACCGAGTAGCAGTTCAGGAGGCCGATACCAGAGAGTCACTACACGGCTAGTGAGAGGCTGGCTTTGATGCGGATCGAAAAAGCTAGCAAGACCAAAATCAGCAATCTTCAATATGCCATTATTGTCAATTAAAAGGTTGGAGCCTTTTATATCACGATGTAGAACACCACGACTGTGACAATGATCAAGTCCACGTAAAAGTTGCTGCATGTAACATTTGACCTACCAAAAGGCAAATACGATTTTCCACTTAGGTGAACAAACAGAATAAACCCTGGAAAAAGAATTAATCAAATGAAAAGAGAAAGAGAACCAAGCTCTTCCTTCTTCATGAACAGGTGATACAAAAACTGAGCAAATTCAGAGGCATATTTATTATTCATGCAAGAACACAATCTCACAACAGGAAGCCAAATGAGCATCTCTGTTGATGTAAATACAAGTCGAAGGTCTGACTATCAGGATTTTCAGCGGTAAAAGTTTACTTGGTGAAAGAGAATAATGTATTTTGCAAAAACATTAAATGGGTAGATACTGAAAGCAAATTCAAATACCTGTGACTCAGTAAACTTAAGACCAGGGTGTGACGCTAGCCCTGCCAAATCATGCTCCATGTACTCAAATACAAGGTATAGGCTGCAAGACATCCTAGAAGTAACTAAACCTTCTAATTTTATTATGTTTGGATGATCAAGCCTCCGTAGTATGTGAATCTCCCTCGCCATGAACCGAACACTCTCAGGTTCTAGGTTATCAAATCTCACTTTCTTCAAAGCGACGATCTTCCCTTGATCAAGATCACGAGCACGGTAAACATTGCTGTAGGTGCCCTGACCAATCTATGGAGCCATAATACCAATTATCAAGTTAGCCTCATTCACGCATCAAGTATATCAAAAAGTAAACAATTCATACAATTTTTTAGCCACTCCATTCGAAACTAACAAAGGCATAAAATCTTCCCGTGAGAATACTAGTTGAGCACTGGTATGCTAGTATTGCAGAATAGCTGTGACAGTAAACAGTAGCAATTTTCTAGGATTATCATATGACCAGATACTTAAATTTAAAAGAAGAAGAGGTGAGTTGTTCATGATATCTGAAACAACTGAATCAGCCGAATCCAACCTGCACAGCTATCCAAAACTCACATTATGAAGATATGTCTAAATTAATGCTGTGCCTTGACAACTGAGGAATAGCTCAATGGGAAAAGCCCTAAGCCTCCAACTATGAAGTTGAGGCTCGAACCACCAAATGGACAAAAGTGGGTAGGATTACCATATTGGAAAAACAGATTAATTTCTTGCCCATTTCCTAGATTTATATCAGAAGATATTGGCTATACCATGCACCCAAAATCTTCCAGCTCCAACTCAGTGCTGAAGTGGAACATTTCCCCTTTTTCGGATAATTAGCACAACACTAGTACATGAATTGTCAGAAAGTAAAGATTCACTCTTGTGGGGGAGGGAGAAAGAGACAATTATGTGACAATTCTCAGAAATGCTTGGAGTTTCTACAGTAGAATGAATAGTCAGAGACACAAAATTAAAGGTGCATACTTTATCCAACTTCTCAAAAGAATCAGCTCGCCTCGGCACCCATCCTCTGATAGCTTCACCAGCAACAGCAGCAAGCCAAGGTGGCCATCCAGCAGCAACCTGTTCCCCTTCACTCCCTTTAGGTAATATCCCAATTCCAGGATGATGTGTAGCAACAATAAACTCTTGCTTCTCCCTTTTCCTCTCATAATTATCACCCTGCAATCTTACAGAACCATTTACTTGTTTATCAATCAGCATTGCCTTCCCATCAATGCTATCCAAGCGATCTTTAACCCTATAAGCTGCGTCCTCCCTTCTTGATGAACCAGCCCTTGGCCCTCTCAAAGTTGCAGCATTTTTACTTGACAACCTGTCCCTTGGACTATCTCTACTGTCTTCAATGGCAGAGGGCTTACCACAAACACACCCCATCCCAAATATCACACTAAAAAGCACCAAACACTTCAACCCCACCTCCCAAAATCACATCTTTTCACTAATAAACCTCCTCATTTTCAACAAAACTCGCGTTCCAATTACTAGGGACCAACCACTTAGCAAAATTAAAGCAACCCCACCTCCCAAAATCAAATCTTTTTGCCAATAAAATCCTCTTCAATATCAAGATCACACACTTTCCAATTACTACAGAGCAACCCCACCTCCCAAAATCAAATTTTTTAGCCAATAAACCTCTTCATTTCAAGAAAACACTACTTCTCAGTTAATACAATCACTTGTCAAAATAAAAACAAGCAGCTTTAAACAAGAACATTAGACTCATACATAACCAGTCATTCAAAGAACCAAAGGAAAACCAAGAAAACAGGTAATATACACAGAGTACAAAATGTACAGCCACTAAAATTGTGCCAATAGGTTCAAAAGAGAAGAGCTAGAAACGAATGTTGAAGTGAGAGTAGTACAGAAAGTGGGTGGAGGAGAAAGCATGGTTGTGGATCTAGGGCACGGATGGATTGAGTCTCAGGAAGGGGATACAGAAAAGAGAGATAAAAAGAGATTAATTTTGGAAAAGGGTGTTTTACACAAAAAACTGTTAGGTGGATTTTATATACTTATATATTCTGACCGCCGAAGAGCAGCTTTTTTAATAAATACACTTCACAGTACCCAGTGTGTGTGTGAGAGAGAAACAGAGAGAAAGGAAGCTGGGAAGACCGATGCTGTTGCGTTGTGACATTCTTAACATGTTAAGTTGTTAACCACGCGCACAACACAACAAACTAGCTGCCACCTTAAGTTATCCACCTTAGTTTATTTATTTCAGTTGAATTTCTTATTTGGATCTTTATGAGTCCACCTAAATTAATATTTATTTTACTACTATTTTGCTAATAAATATGTTATTTATTATAAGTAAGTACATAGTAACTATAATCTTATTTATTGCTTGGTGTTTAACAGTTCAAATAGTACTAACATTATGATGGAACTGTGATGCATTAATAACAAGCATAACATTATAAAATTTATGTGCAGACACACATGCGCAATTAGAATATACTAGTAGTTATATATGTGCGATGCGCGGTCAATATTTAAAAATATTATTTAAATTAAATTATAATCGAGATTGTTTTAATATATTAGATCGTATTGTCAATATTAAAAAATATTAATTAAATTGTAAGCGATATTATTTTAGCATATTAGATCGTATTGCTCTAATAAAATTAGAATATATGTTATTGAAGCTCAATGTTCATAAATGTTAGTAGCACTTTTTAGATTTATTTACTTATCTAATTTTTTCTGATTATATCATCTTCTTACTTACTTTGTTATGTATTAGTAATTGCAAATTAACCATCAAAGATTACTTGATAAGTATCCTCGAGTTTAAAAAATATTTTTGATAAGATAGTGTTTTATTCACCGAACTAAATTTTTTCAGCACGAATTCAAATTAATAAAACTCCAAAGCAAATATCACATACCATATAAGGAATCAAAAACTTGTAAATTCATATATTAGTGGTAAGAAACTCTTCCATCTCTATATTAACTGAATTTGGAAATTGAAATTTTGATAAGATTAGCACAAATATAACAAAACTAATTGTTAGTGCTTCTCGTACAAAAGTCCGAGGTGGTTTTGTATCTATCCACATGTGATTAGGGAGATTTTCAAACAGTTTTGTCGACTTTGCTTTGTCTTATTTCAAATTTTTAATCTAGTTGGGCCCAGAGCTACCTGTAAACTTACAACTCGGAGAGCTCGTGCAAGAGCGTGAGAATGAGGCGCGTAGGGAAGAAGGGTTTTACTGCTGTCTCTGTTTTCTGCACAAAGTAGTGTGCCTTTGCTCAGGGCCTGGGTAGTGAGTGAGAGGGGTGGGGGGCTAGTTCCTACTTTTCTTTGGCTTTTATATTTGTGGGGTTCACGCATTAATATGATAAGTTAAGACCTTTTAGTGCAATTATTATTCCGAATTTACCTACTGAGCCACTTATTTCCCTACATTTTTAAAAACCATTAATTACGAGTTTATTACTAATTAGTACTACTATAATAAAACCAGCTGTGGGTTCCATTCCCCTAAACCCGGTGCTTCATATTCCCCTCCTCTTTATTGGATAATCTGACTACTTTATACTAATAAGCTTTTCTTTTATTGAGTGCGTTATTTATTAAATTGCTAATTAGAAATGGAGTAAAACTTTTATTACGTAGTTTTGAACTTGATGACGATATATAAAAATTAAGGTATTTTGGGTTACTAGGTAATTTTTTATTAAAAATTTTATGGTTTACTGTCAATTCCAGATAATCAAAGGTGTCTTTGTGAACTCGGAGTGGTTACAAATCCTACTCACTTTTTTCTAAAAATAATTGTAACAAAGTAGTACTAATATCCTATGATAATATGAGACAGCTCAGGAGTACTTTAAAACATTTATCCACGTTATTCATGCGGTTTAGGGATTCCACGTACTAGATCTGTTTCTTAAACAAATCAATTAATTGAGAATTTAAGAAAGTATTAATGCTCTTGGCAAGTCCAAATTCGAAAGTTGAAACTTGATTAGTGGCCACTTCATCGTCATATTCTCACATCGCTGACCTATTTTGTTTTAGCTTTTATAAAATGGTCAAAGACTTTTCTTGATTAGAAAAGCTAGCGAGGAGTGGGCTTCTCTACATAGAAGATGACAACCTTCCTCAGCTCAACAGACTACTCAATCTGTTGAGTTAGTTACACCAACCGAGGACGATGCCTCGTTGCTCTGGGGGAGTTTGAGATGGTGGAAATTGCCAATTCCCGCTTCCGAATCCCAGTCGCTGCGCCCGGTACCGTGAGGCTGTGTATCGGGTCCCTGCCATCTTCGGTTGACTAGCAACCAACAACCAGCACTACGCTTTCCGCAACCACTTCTCATTCTTCAATGCCATCAGCTTTATCTCCTTCTTCACCAACTCTTCATTTACCACCAGCAACGGCTACATCATCTTCACCGGCCGCAGCTGTCCTAGAAGAGGATGTTCCTCTCCCCCAGTCCCCAATTCATGGGAGCTTGGGGAAAAATTATGTCACCCCCCAGAAGATCCGCAAAGAAGGAGGAGCATTACTCTCTCGGTCTCTACCGAATGCAATCTGTTGTCCCGGTCGGTGGAACTTGCTAACTATTTGAAGCCTTTGGCTTCAGAAAAAGATAGGAAAAAGATACAGGCTCTCTCGGGAGAGTGTTTGTTGAACAATGCTATGCACAATGCCGTAGTGGTATATTCTTCGTTTTCTTTGTTATCTCTTCCGTCTGTGATATAGTAGTATTTTGAGTTTGCACTTTTCGTTTTGCAGGCTAATTTTCTTGCTTCCGAGGGCCTCTAAAGGTTGATTCGAGATAAGGAGGAACCTACCTCTATGCGGGATCAGCTTTTGGCCGAGCAGGACCAAACTGTTGCTCGCCTCTCAGAACTGGAAGCTAAAGCCGCTGAGGTTGTTGTGTTGGAGGCTCGGTGTTATAACTCATGTTTTCGTACGTACGAGTACGTCGTAAGTCAATTGATGTAAGCTCATAAATGAAATAATATTTGAAAAGTTTACAAAGTAAGTTAATCATGTTACCTAGAAGGTTACAAATATTGAAGATCGTGAATAACAAGCATAAAGATGGTTGGAAGGCTTAGAAGCTAAAGGAATTGGAAAAAATAATGTTTGGTCGAAAATCGACAAATTGGGAATGTTATAGCATGTAATTTTGGAGTGAGATGAGGGTGTTTAACATGATAAGGAGGTTATGTTATGAGTTATGTTAGTCGTATGATAGTCGTGTGTTACGTTTTGAAGTCAAGCGAGTGGTGGAATAAAGGTCGATGAAAGTCATCACAAGTTACGTTCATACGTTTTACTGAAACTTTGGGTCAAATGTAACTGCCATTTTCTCCCAATATACGTAGAGTTATAGGGTGTTCAACCCATATAATTAAAGATCTATGAGTCTATTTTCCAATGCATTAAATTGTTTGTCAATACGATATCATAGTAGATAGATATGGACATTTTTGCGAGACTGCGCAGACTGTCACCTACTTGCTTAAACGAGAATCCAAAACTGGGCTTGTTCGGGTCGTCTAAAAATGGGCCAGTTCGGGTCGTTCAATGAGGAATTTTTAAAGGCATACCCCCTTCATATATTAGGCTGATAATAGGGAAAAATAACCAGACTTAATATCTGCAAAAATCCTCCCAAAAATTTCCCACAAATCCCAATTGATTTTCTCTCCCTTTCAAGTTCTAATTAGAGGTAAAGCCTAGAGTTTGAAGAACCAAGATAGGAGCAGAGTTATCCAACAAATAAGGTAAGTTTACTGCTCTCTTTCATCCATTTTTTTCTGCTGTAGATGCATAGTCAGTCATTCTATATTTGTAAGAACTCGCGGGACGGTGATCGGAAGTCGTGAGTTCGAGTTATTCACTTGTAGCGGACTGTTTTATGGATTGTTTTGTGGATTGTTTTGTGGTGATGTTGGGCTGCGTGTTTTACTACTATTTTGTGGAGTTTTGGAGGAGGAAGGATGTGGATAAATACCACATAAATATAGGATGTTGGGCTGGTCGTTCATCGTAACATTTTCGGGTCGTTGACACTACTACGATGGTCATTTTGTGTATGAAAAGATTGGGGTGTGTTGGGCTATTTTGTAGTATTATGTGGTGTGCATAAGGTTGGAAAATAATGTATATATGTTGTTATTGTTGTTTTTGGTGTTGTTGGTGTTATCTTGAAATTGGAGGAAGTAAGGATTATAGGGGAGGTGCTATCCGTTTTAAAACAAAATAAGCTTGTCGTTCGTTGTGCGTTAGTTGTACCTTTCGTAACTTAATGATAGTATTATTATTGTTGTTGTAGATTAAGGTGAGAAGAGGCGAGTTCAAGTTGGTGATTGGAAAGATTATGATAAGGTATGTTAAGGCTAAACCTTTCTTCATTTTGGCATGAACCCGTAACTACATGAGTT